ACAAACAGCTAAGCCTGTGTTTGCGCTCATTACTAGACGGAGGGTGGCCAGAACACATTCTGATTTTACTGTGATTTCTGGCTGCCTCGAAGCGGATACTGACACACAGAGAAAAATAAAACAGAGAAGTCACATCAGCAAACTGCAGTTGTGCAGCAGGAAAAAGTAGAGAGGACCAGAAAGCAAAGAATAAATGGACCTACTCCAATAACTGGCAGTGGTTAATCTGGTGAGAAGGTGGCAGGCGGCATGAACTGAAGGCGATCACTTTTCTCCCCAAAGAGTCGTCACCTGCAGAATCAACAAGGGTTGGGTGAAATCAGGTGAAATCGTGGTCAGACGTTTTCTGCTCAGGAGGGCTGTGTGAAGTTTCCAAAAGATGACCTAATTAATTTACGAGCCTCGAGACAAAGTTCAAAAGAAATCCATTCATTTATTAGGATCAACATTTTGGGCATGTTCTTCTGCAGAGCCGAAACTGACTGTCGCTTAATTGCATTTGAACTTTACCCATGTATCCCTTCCCTTCCGTCTGTGTCATAAATCACATCCACCAACAAGGTGCTGCGGCAGGCTATGAACATGTGCATTTCACACGCCAGCTGTAGGAATATGAGACCTGACTCTGGCCAAAAGTATGCATGGAATTCTACTCCCTTTCCTCCCCCCCTTTTCCTATGTCGACTTGATAGTAGTCATGGAAATGCTTTACAAGCTGACACAGATATTTTGGGCTCCGTAGTGGTCGTAAGTCGAGGACTACCTGTAATCTCTTGTACGCGAGGATGGGATAAGGGTCATCAAACTTACTGAAGCGAATTCTGGTTACATGTCAATCTACAGAACGTAAGAGAGGATTGAATGCTTGTCCTTGCCCCTCACCTGTTCCTTCCTTTGATCTTCATCACCCCTTGCCAACCAATTTGCAGCCCTCCCCCTGGAAACAGTCACGGTGATTTTGGTTTGTGCCACTTGGTGCTCTCCATCCTTCCTGGCGTGACTACCTGGCATAAACTGTCAGTTTCGATATCTGCAGAGAAGATGAACAGATTAACAGTTGGAAGGGACCTTGTGGGTCATCTAGTCCAACCCCCTCCCCCTGCCCAAGCAGGAGACCCTACACCATCTCTGACAGAGAGCAGCCCAGTCTCTTCTTGAAAGCTTATAAATATTTTTATTGTATATTTTTCTTTATAATACATCACATTTCCAGTTGTGCAGTGACAGTGTACAGGTTGTATCTAGTCCTTTTTGAGTGTACATATTTTTATACAACCTGATGATAACCACTCTTCTCTTAATCATACATTTATAGTCTCTTTTAAATACATAATGTTGTATGTCATAGTTATGGACATTATTTACATAATTGTACCGTAACATTCTATATATTTATCTCTTTTCTTTCCCCTCTCTCCTTCCTTCTCCCTTTAACTCTTCTCCTCTCCCCTCTTCTCTCCCCTCTCCTTCCCTCTCTCTTACTCCTCTCCTCTTGTCTGTTTCCTTTACTCCTTTCCCCTCTCTACTTCCCTCTTCTTCCTTCTCTTCTCCTCTCCCCTCTTCTCTCTCCTATTCTCCATTTCCCTCTTTCCTACTCCTCTCATCCGTTTCCTTCTCTCCTTCCCCCTTCTCCTTCTTCCTTCTCCTCTCCTCACCCCTCTTCTCTCTCTTCTCTCTCCTTCCCTCTCCTTCCCTCTCGCCTACTCCTCTCATCCGTTTCCCTCTCTCCTTTCCCCTCTCTACTTCACTCTTCTTCCTTCTCCTCTCCCTTCTTCTCTCTCCTCTTCTCCACTTCCCTCTCCTACTCCTCTCCCCTCGTCCATTTCCTTCTCTCCTTCCTCCTCTCTACTTCCCTTCCCTTCCTTCCCTTTCTGAAGGGACAGAATTCTATAGCTCTGCCTGGGGAAGCAAATTTCTATGTTCTCGCAGGCATTGCAATGAAGCCCATTTATAAAATCATTCGAGAAGCCAATAAAAGTCACATTGTTTGGCCTGCAAACGAGAAGTAGGTGGATTGAATGCAAGAGTTGGTCGCGTGTAATGGAGCGGGTCACGAGTGGCCATCATGGTATGGGATTCAGACGAAAATGTTAGGCTCAGGTTACAAAATTCGTAATACTCACCAACAAAACCATAAACTCCACACCCAGGCCCTTAAGCGATGGCTCCTTTAACGCAACCATAAAAAGCCCCTGCAAAATCTATGTACAAGGTAACTTATCTTTCTCCCCAATCTCATATCAGCTTACTTGCGTAGAGCAGAAGTAAGGGCTGTTGCAATATGGTGAAATTCTTCCTTCCTTGGTTGCAGCCCCATGCTAAAAGAACAGAAAAGGAAAAAGAAAGTGGTTGTATTTGATGAAACTCCCAGGTCAACATTTTACCCGCATCCTATGCGTCAGTGGAGGAAAGTTTCCTTACCCAACTGATGATGTTACCTAGTTGGGTAATGAAACGTCTGCAAGAAAACAGCCAAGCTCAGAGAGCACCAAGGGACCCCGCAGAGAGCAGATTTAATGGACGAATGGAAAGAATGTAAGCAACATGGTCCCCCAACATGAAAACATCAAGCATGAACACAATGTAGAAAAGATATGGAAACTCTAGAAAGAGTGCAGAGAAGAGTAACGAAGAGGATTAGGAACTGGAGGCTAAAACATACGAATAACATAACTAGAATAACAGTCTAGTTTAAGGAAAAGGAGGACTAGGGGAGACATGATAGCAGTCTTCCAATATCTCAGAGGCTGCCCCAAAGAAGAAGGAGTCAAACTATTCTCCAAGGCACCTGAAGGTAGAACAAGAAGCAACAGGTGGGAACAAATCAAGGGGAGAAGCAGCTTAGAACTAAGGATAAATTTCCTGACAGTGAGAACAATGAATCAGTGG